TTGGGCAATGTAAACCCCATAGGTAGGAGTGAGTGGAAAATACTGTTAAAGATGTCGAAAAGTAATAAAGATAAACTTTATTTTTTTAACAAACAGTGTGACAGAAAAACCGAATTAGAGTAAAAATTCGAGGCATAAGAAAAATGTTATGATAGTAATACCAAATGGTGGTTAATATGTGTTAATACATTGACAATATTTACCATTAAATTGTACTTACCTTCACATTCACGTCCTGCACCATTAAAACCATCATTACATTTACATGTATAAGAGCCTTCGTTATTTTCACAGGACGCATATTTATGACATTCATGGGTTCCCAAATAACACTCATTTATATCTAAAATGTCAAAAAATGATAATTAACTGCTTGCATTTCTTAAACATTTTTTCAGTATATTCCTTCGAAAACATACTTACCTGTGCAATCTACTCCGGTTCCACTATATCCAGGCAAACATTCACAAATAAATGATCCATTAATGTTTTTACATCTGGCATTGATGTCACAATTATGTAAATTTTCCTGACATTCGTCAATATCATTGCAAGTCTTTCCATCACCACGGTAACCATCATTACACGTACATATATAACTACCAATAGTGTTATTGCATGTAGAAGTTGTATCACAGTCGTTTTCAGATTCACATTCGTCCTCATCTGAAAGGGAAATATTTGATTTCAAGTTATAGAAGTAAACAGTTTGCTAAATAAAACAGTACAGTCTATACGTTTATTTATTTATTCATTTATTTAATTGTTTATTTGTTCTTACCTTGACAATTTATCCCATTTCCAACATAACCCGCTTTACACTGACAGTGATAAGACCCAGCAGTATTAATACAGTTAGCATTAATGTGGCATTCTGTCTCTTCACTATTTTGACATTCATCTATATCTGTGAACAGAATAATTGCAGTATTTAACATATATCCTTTTGCATGTAGACACTACAAACTAAATATTTCCTTGTTCACCAGTCAATATACCCAGAATCATCTCTGCATGTGAACATTATTCTGTATCCATTAGTCAATATTTCCAGTAATAATTTTTCGTTTACATTTACTCTACACTGTCTGCAGTTTCTCAACTATCATTATATCTGTCGGCGCAACTTACCGGTGCATATTCGACCATCACCGGTGAATCCTGGCAGACATTCACAAGTATGTGATCCTTCTGTATTGGTACAACCGGCATGAATGTCACATTCATTCGATCCCAGGCACTCATTTACGTCTAAAAGAACATTATAATTAGAGGTAAAAAAAAGACATTCGATATTTTTGTACAACGTGCATTCAATTGAAATTAATTACAATATAATGTAACGATATTACCTGTACACACGTCAGCAGTGGAGTTATACTGAAACCCGGGCATACATTTACATTCATAGGATCCAAAATAATCTTTGCAATCCGAGTTATCTGGACAAACAGGTT